GTGGATGGACAGTATTCATTGTCAATTGGTGGGATCGCTGGCTATTCTGTCTACAGAGGTGTCCGTCTTGCTGTTGACTTACCTGACTTTGGAAAAATACATTTGCATAGTTTATCCTTTTAGGTGTTTGAAGCCCAGAAAACGCAGGACAATTTCCATTTTGGTTCTTATCTGGATAATTGGGTTTGCTGTTGCTTTTATCCCACTGAGCAATAAGGAATTTTTCAGGAACTACTATGGCACCAATGGCGTCTGTTTTCCTCTTCACTCAGAACAATCAGAAAGTTCAGGAAGTCAGATTTATTCTGTTGTCATTTTTTTAGGTAAGTTGCATTTCTTCTTTATATATGATTAGAGCTGCAAATGAACTTAATTTTCAAACTAATAAAATAGCTTTGCTGTGACATTCACACCTTGTATTTAAATGCTCTAGTAAGCACTTAAAGACTTATTCTAGCCTGAATATTTTACTGTATTAGATAGATACTTACATATCTTAAAATGCATGAAGGACTGAAAGGGTAGAAAGAAATTAATGACTATTAAGTTCCTGAATGAACAGACTTTGTTAGGGAAGTAGAGCAGTAAAACTAGAGAACTACATAGTTTGAATCAGATGGAAGCCATTTGTCAAGTGTCGATGAACGAAATAAATACCTGAGGTGAAAATTCATTGTTCAGGTGAAGGCAGACCCAGATTTTCTGGCCTCTTAATCCTACAGGACTAGAAGTTTAGATGAAACATTTTCCTTTACTACCCAGCCTGCAAATAGGTGATGTGGAATTGCCATTATGCTGTTAAACTGTAACTAATTTTAACTTCTTAAACAGGTGTAAACTTGGCAGCTTTTATCATCATCGTGTTTTCCTATGGGAGTATGTTTTACAGTGTTCACCAAACAGCTATTACAGCTACTGAAATTCGGAATCATATTAAAAAAGAGATGATCCTTGCTAAACGTTTTTTCTTCATTGTATTTACTGACGCACTATGTTGGATACCCATTTTTATTTTGAAACTCCTTTCTTTACTTCAAGTAGAAATACCAGGTATGTTCTTTCTTCTATGAGGTCTTTTTCAACTATGTCTGTATGAAGAGTGATGGTTCTACTTCAGAAGATAAAGAATTGAATATACTGAACTATATTACTATAACTTTATGTTATATGTCTATATATATATACACACACAATATAATGAACTACATAGTTTTACTACTGAACTATATTACTATAATCATCAAAGATTAAGTTAGCCAAAAAAACCCAAGAATTCAAACTGCTCGTCTGTCTCCATAAAATATCTATAATGTAAAAAAGGTATTTGAAAACCAAGGCTGAATTGCATTGGCTTTTCTAATCCTATGGCTTTTGTTGGTTATGTTGCATAAATATGGCTTAGGACAATACAGTGTTTCCTATATTGATTTAACAATATAATTGCTATCCTGAAAAAATAGTTCAAAACATTAAGTTATATAAAGCTCTGCTTACCTTCTTCATGCTGCGAATATATTCCCATGTAAAAATAGCATAACCTGAAAGATTAAAAATCACACTTTATTTTTTTCCTTCTCTTTGCAATGTCAGTACTTGCCAGAAAAATAGCATCTTTATGTAGGGCTTGTATACAGTGTTCAAAAGAACTTGTGAACATGAACAGTACCATCAGCAACTGCAGATTCAGACTCAATGTACAGCTATATGTCACAATGCTATGTTAGCAAGAAAACATTTTAGCTCAGAGGATTTTCTTTTGTGCTGACCCAGGAGTGTTGGGAGTCACATTTTCAAAGTTTTCACTTATGTTTCAAATGTCTAGAAGTTACGCTGATTATGTCAAACATTTTCAGTTATTTGAAATCTTCTAAAATGCTTCTTCACGAAGTTATCAAAACTACTAAGAAATTCTAAAGAAAATATTGTGAAAAGTAGAAGCACATGTATTCTGAGTCAAGAAACCTTGAAGAAATCTTACTGAACCACAGGATGATCTTGGGTTCAGCAAATAAATGTTCCATGTAAACCAGATTAAACAGTAATCACTCATTTCATAAAATTAAAGACACAGATAGTTGTCCAAATTTACGGAAGCTTTGAACACTGCTGGTAGCATATTTTTTTTCTGTGGGGATACATTGTCACAGGTTTTCAACTCAGTATCTGCTTGATTCCAAATGTGTAGCCAAGGTGATGGGCATCAATAGGAAGGTATTAATACTGCAACAAAGTTGTAAAGCCAGAGAAGAGGAAGAGAGGGGAGGAAGGGAGAGCAAATTATTCTTTCTGTGCAGCTTGGAACAGTTCTATAATTGTTTTATAATGCAAACAATGCAACAGAGGACACCAACTAATATCTTTCAGCACTTTAATACTGTCCCTTCTCTGTCTGCCCCTCAGTAACTTATCTCCCAAACAGTAGGGATGAGAAGGGGATGCTGTGAAAATGCACACAGACTCTGATGTAGGTGGGACAGCAGGAAACCTTCAGAAAGGAAGATGGTGTGAACACAAACCATCACCAGCAGGGCAAGAAGGAAATAATCAGGATGTATACAGTGCCCTTTGCAGTGGGAAAAATGGCAAAATCCTGATACAGATGAGAAAACAAGCCTCTAAGGGTATGCAGGGACTAGAGGATACTGCTTTGCAGGAGGACAGGACGTGAAGGACATTGTTAGGATTGCATGTCACTTGTCATGGGAAGAGGATGGAGAACAGAGATCACGGGAAGAGACTAGGGAGCAAGGCAGAGACAAAACGTTTTGGAGCAAGAAAGTGGGGCTTGGGCTGAACAAGAAACGTGCCAGGGCAAATAGGGAGCTATGGTACAGAAAAATAAGAGGGATAAATGGAACTTCTGGGAGAGTAAAAAATGTCAGGTTTTGATGGGAGTCATGGAAACAGAGGGATGCAAGAGGGCAGTGCAGACATAACAGTGAGAAGAAAAAGTACCTGTTGTGACATGAACTCAGCCTCGGAGAGTATGACCAACCCTCTCACCAAGAAGCTGTGCTGCATGGGCATCAAGTGTTTGCCCTAATTAACAGGTGCGAACGTTGGAATGCATATTACAGCTTCCTTTTTTTTTCCTTCCCTAAGGTACCATCACTTCTTGGGTGGTGATTTTTATACTGCCAATAAACAGTGCTTTGAATCCTCTTCTGTACACTTTGACTACACGACCTTTCAAAGAAATGATTCATCAAGTTTGGTATAATTACAGACAAAGAAGATCCAAAAGAGGTAAAGGCAGTCAGAAAACATACGGTCCATCATTCATTTGGGTAGAGATGTGGCCAATGCATGAAATCACACCAAAGGTAACAAAGCCTGTGCTTTGTACAGACTCCTCTGATGCTTCAGTGACTACACAGTCAACAAAACTAAATTCATACATGTAAATACATTTTGAATCTTCATAGTGACATCTGCACTGTGAGCTTCATTTCTGTGGGCTTACTGCTTTACAGCAATGAGGAAAACTGAGGGAGGTATGACACCTGGGCTCACCTGAACCAAAGCAGGAAGAAGAGGGAGCAGCGTGTCTGTTTGCAGGTAGAACTGACACAACAGTAATTGTACCATCTCACAACAGTACCTGACATTTTGACTACTCCTCCTAGATCAGAATGAGAAGTCAGTTGTTTTTTTCCTCCCATAAGCCACGAGTGTGGAAAAAACCTCTTTTAAAACATCTTACCCTGAAAGCAGAATGTTTCAAAATAATCTATTTGGGGGGGGGAGGGAAGGTATTTTTCATTAAACCTTTATATTTTTAAATCTCCCATTTTAACAGCTAAATTTTTTTTAGAGTTGATTGGTTTCCTCATTAAGATTTTTTTTTTCTTCCTCAAAATTTCTGACTGGCTGTATTTAGACTGCATCAGCTCTTAAAAAGCTTTAGGGAGCAATAATCCTAAGAAAAATATTTAAATTTCATAATTAGACTGGTTTACTATATTTGTCAAAGTCAAACCAGAGAAAATTTTACTCCTTTTAAAAATTTAGCATTTCACTCATTTAAAGACAATCCTGAAATTGTAATGATCATTCTAATTCAGGCAGAACCAGAACTATGAGGAAGAAAAAAAGAAAAGAAAGTCTTTTTTCGTAACTGAGTGTCCCCCTAGCTATAGCTGGTGCAAGTTTCCCCCTTCAGAAGAGCCTCCTTCCCTGGAAAGACTGGACTGAGTATCCCAACATCTTGATGCTGCTCTTTCCCTCACTGTTCCTTAACGGGCTACCATAAGTAGCTCCCCACAGCTTGCAGACTTCAGCAAATTCCAGTCTTAAGATGTTTTCCCCTGTACATGGAAAAATGGGCAGTGGCCAAATAGAAGACTATTAGTCTTAATAGGTGTCACGACAGCTACATTTTAATCCCCTTGTGCATCTGCATATATTTATTGAAGGGAATCTTTCCCATCATGAATTTCTACAACTTCCCTTCTTTCAGCAGCATGCTCACAGTCCAATAGCCTAGAAGCCCACAAAGGTGAAAGATCTGCTTCTTTTTGTATTGACAATTTGAAGCTTTAAAAAATGAAACTAAAAGATACTTCCAATGTTTGCACTTAACTTCTTAACAGCATAAGAAGTAGAATTTTAAAGTGTGCCTCACACTTCAGCTGTTTACAGAACTTTGGATCATCTTGAAATCAAAGATTGTTAAGGATCTTGTTTCCACTACTGTATGTGTTGTTGAAATAAAAGATTATCTGCTGAACAAAACAACTACTTTTTGAAATTGCTTAGCAACATTTTGGGTTGTGGGGTAACTGAAATCCTGCCATCTGGATTGCCTTTAAGTGAGGCAATTAGAACTTAATTTATTAGAAATTGTGTACTCTGAGGTGCCAAGCCTTCTCAGTGACTGTAACTGCTTTTGATGAGATGTACAAGGATGTTTGTCCTCAACATTACTTCTGGTTTTCACTTGATTATGGGTATAGTCAATATGATCTTTGTTTCTATAAGTAACATAAGAATAGTCATTATTTCAAATTTTTTGTAACATCTTTATTGTTTTGATAAGAAAACTACAGTTTGTTTTTTTAAAAAACTCCTACCAGTAAAAAATAAGGCTGACTAATAAACCACAGTAGAGCCATGTTCTCCTACAGCCTGCCATTGCATTTCAGTATTGCTTTTTTCACAGTGCTCTGGTAAAGGTACAGGAGTTTCAGTACAGCTATTTATTACAGATTAGTGAACTTTCAGGCCAGCACACTCTTTTAACAGTACACTCTAACTAACTAGTAACTGCTTAAGGCAAAGATAAAAAATAGGACCAAATACTGAAAAATGTCTAATGTGCTACTCAAGAAAGGAGAAAATACATTTCACACATACAAATGGAAGCGTTTACTTATAGTTCAAAATAATCCATCCTATCAGTAAACAACACTGTTAAACTTCTATCATGCAGAGATATATGGTCCACCATAAGGCACTTTATTACAACAAAAGGTAGTGTAAAATTGTTTGCAGTAATCAAACACCTTGCAAAAAATCTGCACCTTTATAGAAATATATTGCAATACTGCTAAAAACAGTGAGGTTTGGGATATAGGGCTTATCTAAAGCTTGTAAATAAGCCACGACTTGCCATAGTATTCTATCCTCAACACGGAGAAACAGCATGCATAGAGAAAACCTGAAGTTTGTTCAGCAATTTCCTCTGGAGTTGGCAGGGTTTCTGCTAGTGGCAGCTCTTAAAAAGGAGGGCTGACAATACCTCCTCCCAGGACACCACTTCCCCACCAGTAATGAGTTCCGGACGTACCATACATACTAACTTGGCATCCACCACGTTAGCCACAAAAAAAAAAAAGAAAAAAGAAAAAAAAAAGGCAGAGTATTTCATGGACGAGATGGCTTAAGCTGCAACTGAAGAGCCTAGAACTGATGTCCTAAACAAAGTTATTTTACTCGGTGACTTACATACAACAACCATGCGAGTCAACAAGTACTTCTGAAAGAACTCCGGGCTCACGGGGAGCTGCCGAGAGAAAACAAAAATCCACGTGGACTCCTTATTAAGGGGTGGTTTAACAAAACCCCTGATCTCAGTCCGACACGAGCAGGCAGCTCAGCGCGACCCGGCGGAGCCGCCGCGGGGGCAGGGTCAGCCGCTGGGCTTCAGGGCCTCGTAGCCCTCCCTCAGCAGGTCCCGCCATGTTCTGAGGAACCGGGCGTTCTCCGAGCACTTTGTGGCGAGCTCCTCCACCTGGGCCGACACGGCCGACGTCGCTTCCAGGACCTTCGCCAACGAGAAGGCGGCCTGGAGGAACGACAGAGGTTGGGGGTCACCGACGCCCACCTGGCACCACCCGTGAGGGGATCCCCGCCGCCCGCCCGCCTGCACTCCCGGCACTCACGTCGCCGATCTGCATCTCCACCTCCTCCAGTAGCTCCCGCGTGTCGCCGGCCGGCAGCTCCGGTGGCCGCGACCCCTCACTCCCACCACGGACCCTCCGGGGCCCAGCGCCGGGCGATCCCTCGGGCAGCTCCGCGGGCGGCAGCGACCCCG